GGTCCCCATCTAAACATTGAAGACTGCCTTCACCCCTATTTTATGAGACTTAAGTTGGTTAATTGGTCAGAGCCAGGCCTACAGCCCATATGGCCTGACTAACACCAGCACCCTTGAGCCCATAGATGGATGTCTTCTGGCCCTGAGAGACAGCTGTCACAGGAAAAGCCATCCACTCTGAAATACACCTGGTTAGCAAAGATAGTTTTTACAATGAAACATCATCTGCCCAATGGCAACAAGAGATCAGAGCTGGGTCCCCCTAATTCATATGTTGAGCCCTAACCCCTAGCATGACTGTAACTGGAGACAGAACATTCAGGAGGTGCTCAGGTTAAGAGAAGTCCTAAGGGTAGAGTCTAACGCAGTAGGTTTGGTGGCCAGATGAGAAGCGGTTGAGAGGCACGTTCACTGAGGGAGGCCCTGTGAACATACAGCATCTCATGCCACAAGAACTGCGCAAGAACCCCACAGAGTCAGTGTTCTCGTCTCAGACTCGTAGGCTCCAGAACTGTGAGACGAACTTTCTGTGTTTAAGCCACCCAGTCTATGATACTGTGTTCTGGCAGCCTAAGCAGACTAGACCAGACCAGTATTCAATCTGGGAGCTGCTTGTCTCAATTCCCAGTGCCTACATGTGATCCAGCCTTGAAGGTCCAGCCCACCTTTTCAGTTCAGTTTCTACATTCACCTCAGTCAGGAACTATCCTTCCCTTGCTGATTGCCCAGGCTCCCTTGTGTCCCTGTCCTGTGTGTACAGTCTCATCTCCCTGAGAGTTATGATGGCACCTCCACACCGTGCTGCACCGTCATTGGTGTGTGAAGGGAAGGCCCTTCTCTGCTCATCCTTAACCATAGCTCCTTAACCACAGGAGCACTCAGCGAATGTCTGCTGGAGTTAGAGCTCACTGTGACTCTTGTGCCTCAGTATGCTTCCCCCTGCAGGAAGCACAGACAGCCACCAGAAAGCCCAGTGGATGGCCAAGAGTCCGTGGATGGAAGAAACAGTGTGTCCATCTGTCTGCTCCAGATCCCATTTAATGCCAGCCTGCTGGCCTCCGACCCTCTTTCCACCAACCTGCAGCACACATTGCCAAACATGCACTTTTCCTTTTTCTACACTCCTTCCCAGAACTGTTGATAGTTCTAAAAAGAAGAGGAAGTGGGGGATCTTTTGCTCTCCCTCCTTCTGTAACTGTAACTGCCCCTGTGGGGCAACGCGGCTTTATGGGACTGAAACACCAGTCTGGCCTGCTGCCTGCGGGTGTTCCCCCTCCCCACAGCTCTCAAGCCCATAAGCCTGCCCTGACCTCAGTGCAGGCCAGTCTAGGCAGGGGCCAGGCTTCTCCCTTTCACGTCTGAGTCTAGGATCCTAAATGGACCTATCAGGTTATAGCTGAATGGGCCAATCGGGACCCATCTGTTACTGAACGTTGAGTTAATTTACTCAGATTGAGAATGGAAAGGAAGCTGATTGGTGCAGACAGTCCAATCAAATACTTCGGATTGAAACAACCCAATCAGGCTTGTAGGGTGAGGGGCCCTGAAGAGGATACAAGGCAGAGCAACAGCCAGCCTTGAGCTGCTGAGTCAGTCAGCAGCCAGGAGAGAAGGAGTCAGCCCCGGCCTCCAAAGAGAAGGATTCATGGACCCACCTTTGGAGAGGAAGCATTCAAAGAAGGATTCAGCAGACTGCCTCAGAAGAGAGAGAAGCATGGAGCAAACAACCTCCGTAGGATTCACCAGACCTCTGTGGGCTTCTAGACCTTCAGACCTCCACAGATTTTTACAGAGATCAACTGCTGCACATGCCTCCAGCCCTACCTCTGATATCGTCTGCAAGGAGCACTGTCGGCTTCAGCCTGGTGTCTCAAAGAACTGTTTGCTGTTGATGTATACCAACAGTTCACAAAGAGCTGACCGCAGCCTCTGGTTCTCTGGCACCACCTCCTGGTGCTGCTGAGTCCATCATGGTGGGTCAAGCATCTGGCCCAGCCTTCAGATTATGGCTGTGGTCTGCTGCAGTGTCACCTCACCTTCTATGAATGGCCTATGTTGGGGACTTCTGGACACTGCAGATACTGTCTGGGGTGAGACAGCAGCACCTTGTCTAGCCTTGGAAACTTCCCTTTTCCCCAGTCTCCTGTTTGTTCAGTAAACCCTATTGTTGACCACTGAGCCTGAGTGGTCTTGCAGTTGTACACAACACAGCTCTGTGTTGTGACCTGTCTCGCACCTAGAACAAGTCCTTTGGTGCTATCTTGGCCACTGTCATTATTTTATCACTGTTTTACAGCTAGCTGGTGGATAGAGATCTCCTACCCCTCCAGCTTTGAATGGTACCGAAGAGCAAGTGGAAAGTTCAGTTTCAGTCTCTTTGGATCTGAATGTTGCTGAAAGTCCCCTTGGTTTCCCTGGAGCTCTGCTCTGCATCCAAAGGTGGAAATCATTTGAGAGGCATGTCCTCATTATTATGGGGCCAGCTCTTGCCTACTGTCGCTATCTGATGATGTTCACCACCAAAGAAATCAGTAGCCAGACCACTCCCTTCCCTGGTGCAGTGCTCTGAGGGGACTCTATGGGCTGGCCCTCTATTTTAGCATTGATCTGTGTGCTCCCAGGAAGACATGTCCTGGTCAGCCTGAGGAGCCCACCTTCTGACTTATCAGCAGCCCTTTTCCTGGACAACCTTTGACATACTAGGCAAATACAAAACCCCATATTGTAAACACAAGATTTCCCTGAATTATGTACACTTTCATTCAGCAAAACTTTTCACATCCCTTGAGCTCTGTTGCCTTTCTATTCAGTTCGGAAAGCTTGAGTAGTCCAAGGTGACATTTGACCACCCTCAGGCCTGGGAGTGAGTGACTAGATGAAATAAAACTGGGCCCTGCTCTCAGCCCCCACTCCATCTAAAGCCTCTCACGTAACTCTCTCCTGGTCACATCCATCAGGTGAGGCTGTTGGCATGCCAGCCTGGCTACCCAGCCCCAAGGACAAATTCTGAGGTTAATTCAGCTGACCGTTCCGCTACGCTCAGGCCATGAGCTACCACCTGCACCCTGTGTGCCACGGGACTGCTGTTGCCCACCAAGTCTGAGTAATGCAGGCTCCTGACCAGCTATCCTGCTCTTGCTCTCGCCACCACTTCCATTGTGGCCTGGTTAAGTCCAGTCATGAGCAGTATGTGAACAGGACTCCTGGCCCCAAAGCAGTCGCCTGCCTGTATCCACATTTGTCTTATGCAGTTCAGGGACTTTAAAGCAGTGACGTCCAGCAGGTCATCCCGCAGCACTGCTGATGACCTCTGGGAACTCAGTTGTTCAGCTGGCAACTGATGGTCAGCTCTGCTAGCAAGGGCCCAAACAGGCCTCTGAGGAGCCCTACCTCACCCCAATGAGGTTCAAGAGTCCAGGTAGTGTAAGTTCTGGGTAGTGTAAGCTCTCATGTTCTGTGCAAACTTACCAGGAGGCAGCACTGCCACTTTGGAGTTGACACTGTGCCTGTGGCAGCCTCTGGCCAAAGTAACAGCCTTTCAATCAGTGACCGTAGCAGTAATAGCATGTTAACAATGAAGCGCCAAAGAAAAATTCGGTGGGGGCCGGGGTGGGGGAGGGAAGAGACTTAAAATAATGGCATCATTATAAATCCTAAAGTAGTGATCGTTTGGCTGTGCTACAAAATCTGTGGCTAATGGTTAAAATAAAGATTTAAATAAATGCTTTATCAATAAAGTAGATGATAGGGCATATTTTTCTCAGCTAATGTCAGAAATGGCAGCAGATAGCCATGTGCTGAATTGTCACACTGCAAGTCTTTAAAATTCCTGCTGGATTTGAAGGTATTAACAAGTCCCTATCAACATTCTCTAAAGGTTTTTGATGTCATTTTAGCTATTGAACTAAAATATGTGAACTATTACTTTGTTGATTTTGTTCTTAAACCAAGCTGCATTATCATCTGAGTGTGTTCTTAAAGTATTGTTAAAAGTACTTTGAAAACTTGTAAATCCCTGTAATTTATGTTTCTCCTGCCTCTGCTGTTTCTTTCTGTCCTTCTGGTTTTAATTTGAATGCAGTCCTGTCTGGGTGTGTACCTGTAAAATTGTGTTTTTCCAAGTACAATTTACAGTCCTGACCTTAGATTTCACAGTGCGCCTAGCCTTCTCTGCGCATCCTCCTGTACCAAGAAGTGGGGTTTGGGTCACCGGCTCTTTCATATTAGAACTGTCTAATCAAGGTTACTTGAAACAGATCTGATTTTGACATTTTTGAGTTTATCGTGTAGGCCTGGGGAGTAAATTAGGAGGCCTTCTCTGCAAGCCCATTAATTGCATTGCCCCATTTCTAAAAATGTACACAGTTGTAAACCTAGACTGCTTCAAGACAACGGTCTCATTTATCTAAACAACTCTCCTTTCAGACTCAGTGGCACTGATGGAAACGCAGATAAGGAGCGCGGGCAAAGAAAGGGTCTTTGGGAGCCTGTGCTCGCTGAAACTGTGCCCGTCCCCCTCCCGTCCCCCTCCCGTCCCCCTCCCGTCCCCTTTCTTTCCAGGGCTTACTGGACAGACTTAACAGAGCCGCATGCAGCGCAGCCCGGGAGCCCTCTGAGGGTGGCTGCGCGGGCAGGGCCGCGGGAGAGGGCACCTTTCTCCAGCGCGAGCCGTGTGCAGAGGTGCTGGCTGCGGCAGCGTGTGTCCCGAGGGCCCTTTGTCGGCCTCCTCAATCCACGACAGCTGCACCCTTGACCGTGGATTAGAGTACTTTTTAAATGGCTGTCGAACTTTTGGAATCTTTTTCACAAGTTAGAAAATGAGATTTCTTTCTTTTCTCTTTTCAAATACTACTTTAATTTAGCTCGGGTGAGGAGTTAGGTTTTTTTTTTCCTTTTTCGCCGTAATGCTCCCTCAGCCTGTTCCCCAGGGTTCTTGCTGACACTGTGTGGGGCGGTCGGGGCTTGTTGGCAGTTGACCTGAGGCTCCTCCTCTGTCTCAGGTCATCGTACAGTCAGGCCGCCACCCCACGGTGCTGCAGAAGCTCTGCCAGTTGCCCTTCCAGTATTTCAGCGACCCACGGCTGATCAAAGTGCTGTTCCCTTCGCTTATTGCTGCTTGTTACAACAACCGTCAGAACAAGATCATTCTGGAGCAGGAGATGAGCTGTGTTTTACTGGCCACGTTCATCCAGGTACCTTCCATGTTATGCCCAATTCTCTGGCTTTATTTATATGTTAAGGTGAGTGAAAGTGAGCCAGTAGTTTAGTCTTGCCATCAATGCTACCTTTTAATTTTTTCACATATTTCTGTGCTTCAAAATTAATTTCTAAAATATCAGAACAGTAGGATTGGGGTTTAAATATTGTATAATTTTCACGTGGAGGATTTTAAGAAACATTATTTTCCAGTTAATGGCATGGTGAGCCCACACTAAAGAAATGTCTTTAAAAGACTGCCAGACTGATGGAAGGCTTTAATTGTTATATTCATCCTGCTTGCAGTCTAGCTGTATGAAATAGGTAAGAATTGCTTAAAATAGTCAATTAAAAGTTTAGCCTATTTGTAAATTTTTTTTACATATGTGATTCATATATATGCACAGATGTGTGTATCAGAAGAACACATGGCTTTTTTTCTTAAGCTAAAACTTGTAAGTATAGTCCTTTTTTTCTGATCCAGTTAAATTCTGTGGGATGGAGATCAGAACTAGATTGGCAGCAAAGCAAAGCAGTATTTTCGCAACTAAATTAACTCAGTCAGCTGACAATAGAACAATTAAATTGGCTATTCTTAAACATTTGCTAATTGCTAAAATGCAGATTCCTTTGTAGTTGTAAATCATTATTTACTGAAAATCTTCCATTTTTTTCCCAAATGTTCTACCATAAAACCAATGTGTTTTTGTTCCATTTGCACATGTAATTAATAGACAGTGCTTTTGTTCACAATAACGAAACAGAAAGCAGAGCTCTGTGTTAGTATCGTTCCCTCTTCTGGCCGACGTGCATCTGTCACTGGTGAAGGGTGTGGTGCCATCCAGCAGGGATGGCTAAAGGTCCCCCTGAGCCCTCATCCCCTGAGAAAGCAACTAGTGGTAAAATGTCCTCATATTAGATGACCAGCACAACTACATCGATTTTATTTAGAAATGTTTCATTTTCTGCTTAGTTGTTCTGTTTTGAGTCTGGGTTCCTTTTCTTCTTCCTAAAAAAAGTTTCGAAGACATTCACAACAGGTAGGGTATGGGCTTTCAAATATGCCCATGGTTAGACTAAATCTTGGTTAAAGTCTAATATAACCAGCATGTGGGCATTTAGAATTCTTCAGAGCCTTAGGATAAAATCAATAGAAGATACATTATAAAGGATTTTAAGACTGATCTTTTTAAATTCCGATCATTCATTCTTTCATTCAATGGATAATTTTTGGAGGGCCTACAGTGCACTGAGCACTGCTTTAAACACGGGAATACAGCAGTGAATGAGACAATAAAAATTACTGCCTTCACAGACCTTTTACTAAAGTATCGGGAATCAAACAAGAAACAGATAAATAAAGGCAACAAATAGCATGTCAGATAGTGTTAAGTGCTGTGGAGAAAACTAAGGCGGGAAAGGACAGGAACTGCCAAGGAGGTAAGGTTCACTTCTTACGGCGTGAGCAGAGAACTCAACCAGGCAGTGAGAGCTACGCAGAGACCGTTTTGCATTTGTACCAACTTAGCCCCTATATTTTCAGCTGCTTGGAAAGCAATTTATAAAAAATACAAACAATAGAGGGCCTCCCTGATGGCACAGGGGTAAAGTCTCGGTGCTATCAAGCTATCACCAGCCACTGCCACATGAGTTCAATGCCCACCAGTCTGCTGACCCCCATGGCGCAGCCGACTTCTCCTGTCTCGCCCGCTGCTCCCCTCAGCAGCGTATTCAGTAGATCTGCCTGTTCTACTCCCCACTCTGTCTCTGGTGAATCCTCTACCCCCTGCACCTCTGGCCTACACCCCAGTGCATAAATAAAATAAATTTTAAAAATATGTGTATTTTAAAAATACAAATAATATCACAAGCTAAAATAAAGATCATGTACATTACTCGTTTTCATCTGGTATTGATCTCAAAGTACTTCCTATTCTCTTCCACTGCATTTAGCACACTTAATGTAGCTTAAAGATTTAACATACACTTAGAACATCTTACAATGCTTATTGGGGATAGTGTGTTAGGTTAGTGGAGTTAAATCACTTTTTTTCTATAAATAATTGTGCCTGAAGGAATGAATAAGTATGCATTGGATTTTTTTTAATGAAATGGTTCTGCATTGTCCCCGTGTGTTAGATTACTAAGTCACCAGAAAACGATATTTTTGGCACACCTGAAGGGAGAAATTCTTTACTGGGAAAAAAATGAATAAAGATGTAAAATAATGGTAGCTCAATAAAAATTATATCTTAAAAGATCAGGATCTGGTAGTTGGTCATAGACTTCTGAAAATTTACACATTATATACACTCTCACTTTCCATTTAAAAGTAAAATTATCAGACTTTAAGGTTAAACGGCAGAATATATGTTGTACTTTAAAAATGTCAAAGTTGTAGTTTCCCTCGTAGACAGCAAGATTTAAAAGTTAACTCTCTTCGACTTTGTAAGAACCTAGACAGCATAACATCTTTTTCAGTTTTTATATTTGAACTCCCAAGTATTCATTTAAAAATCGTTGTCTCCAAATTCAGAAGCATTTTTAAAGCCCTGAGCGAAATCGTCTTATTCATAGCATTGGTATAAAAACACCTTTTTGTCTCACACAGGATTTTGCACAGACTCCAGGTCAGGCAGATAACCAGTCTTATCAGCCAAAAGGTATGTCTTTATTGAGATGAAATGTGTGTTTGTCAGTTGAACAGACATGTTTCTCACCTCACCTTCTGGAGCTGTTAAAGAAATCGGTTTGTTACATCACCTAAAATATTTGAGATTTGTATACAAGTATACTTCGGTGAATAAAGAAATCAATTTTGTCATCAAGCATGAGTGCACCAAGATATGCAGAGAAAATTACAGAAGTGAAAGGAAAGCACAAAACATCTCCATGTAATTTTTACTCACCTCATACACAATATAATAAATGCCAGATAATTACTAAAGAGCAACTTTGTAACACAGGAGACAGATCATTAATACTGGCTACATTTTGCACATAAGTCTAAAATCACATGGGTTTGGTTCCCTGTCTATCTTCAAAATAAAATTGTCACCGAAAGTAGCCTGTATTTTCTACCTAAATTTAAATACTTGAATTTTTTATTGAAAATATAAAATTGGGGCCTCCCTGGTGGTGCAGGCAGTTGAGCGCTGCACTGTGAAGCTGTCTGCAGCCTCTGCAGCGCCCGTTCTAACCTGGCCGGCCAACGAGAATCTCACATGGCGCAGCAGACCTCTCCGGCCTCCCCGGCTGCTCCCCTCAGCAGTGGGTTTCAGTAGATCTGCCTGTTCTGTTCCCCGCTCTGTCTCCAGCGAATTCTCTCACCCTCCTGCGCATCTGGCCTGTACCTCGGTTCTTGTATAAAAATAAATAAATCTTGAAAAAAAAAAAAAAGAAAATATAAAATTGTTTTACATGGAGAAAAGTCATCAGCTCAGCAGAATTTGGAGAACAAAAGATTTAGAAATACTGCTGCAGTATTTCCTCTAGTCAGACTAGAGTTGGAGATGTTGAAGTTAAAAATGCATGTTTACCTTTTTAAATATTCTACTGCCCAGCTTGCACTTGAGAAGTACAAGTTGCTCTTTGTCTGGCTCTCCTTGCAGCATCTCTGATTAATGGAACCCTAATTCAGATTTTATCCAGTTCTTCCATCAGTTTGATAGCCCTTAAGTGACCAGAGGCCCACTCTCAGCAAACCCTCCCTGGGCACTCTCCAGGAACTCCTGACTTGGACAGGGTCACACTGGACACACACACACACAAAGTTATCATCACCGCACAGGTGTTGAAAAGTACATAAAATGGAATATAACTAAAACTGTAATAAAATTGTGAAAAAGTGTCCTGTTTTATTTACTCTCGGGTACTGAGCGAAGTAAACAGAAAGCTCTTTTCAAACTAGAAATTCAAGTCCCATCCCAGTCGGTACCATGTGTCTGAGCCAGAACTGGTCACAGCTTTTTAAAAAACTATCGGAGGCTCTTGAAATAAAATCAGCATCATCTGTAACTATTTCTTATAAAACATTTTTTTATTTTAAATATGATGCAGAGTCCCGGAGGCTGCCCTCTGCCCTGGCCTGAGTCCTATGGGTGGTTCGACCCTCTTTCTTCCCCAACGACCATCTTTCTCAGAGTTGCATGTTTTCCCCAATTGCAGTGGCTGGACTCACTGGACAGCCAATGGGAAATTGGTTTCTGCTTTGTGCATGAAGAGCCATCACTATATTGGTGACAGCTCATAGTATGTGCTTCCTTGGTTAAAAAAAAAAGTTCTCACTAAGTTCCACTTTGCACCTTGGACATCAGTGCACCTTTTACTTAGATTGAGTCCCCATAAAATGTTTCACGATGTTCGAGTCCACTGCCCAGGTGAACCTGTGCCTTCCCAGTGGATAGAGAGCACTCCTGGTAGCGCTACATTCTTAGTGCCCAGGAAGCTGCTGATTTCCACGCACTTGCTGCTCCTGCCTGCCGGGGCCACCACAGTATTTGCTTCGCCCACCTCCGCGGCCAGGAGGGCTCCCAGCCCTCCCAACTGCTTTGTCAGATGGGCTGCTGAATGCCAGCTCAGAGCAGGCTTTACGTTATATTTAAATTAAAATCATGTTTGAAATGAAGTAGACTGTTTTAGAAAACAAATGCCAAGTTTACATACCCATTTGCTCTTGCAAGGCTAACTAAGGAAAAAATACATGAATGTCATTTTATTTTGCTCACCATACCTATTTTCTCCTGATTATTTTCTTGCTCGGGAATCCAAAACCATTTTCCTCATAATGTTTCACGTGGGGTAATATCTGAATATGTTAGCACAAAACAGATTGTAATTAAGGTCTATATTTTTTGTGGTACAGAGATCAGTACTTTGTTTACATAAACTATATCTAGTTTATTTGAAGTGCGTGTCTCCATTTTTATTCAGATAGCAAAATAATTTTGATTTTTTTAACTTTTAATTTTTTAATCAAATTACTTAACTTTTTCTTTTTCTTTTTTTTTCTGGTCAGGAAAATGCTTTGACTCCCAAGACTATCTTGAACTGGCTAACAGGTTTCCTCAGCAGGCCTGGGAAGAAGCTCGGCAGTTTTTCTTAAAAAGGGAGAAAAAATAAATGTTTTGGTTGGTTCTGTACTCAGATACCCTCAATATTTTAAATGGTTCAAGCAAATGTTCTACTTGTTCCTTGAACTCCCTTTTCCTATGTTTCTACTCCCTCTGCTCTGTAGATACGGGGTGCGCTCCGCGTTATTTATAATGACTGTAGATACTTTCATGTTCCACTCTCTAATTTTGCAGGTTGAGTTTATTTCATTCATGCACAATGTTTTGGGGTTTGGTGACCTGTTTTCTGATGACACCGTGTAAGCCGGGTGAAGTTAGGCATAAAATCAGCACGTCTGTCTTGTCGTTGTAATAAAATAACTTATTCTGTTTGCAAAGATGACTCTTGTTGTGGCGCCACGAACTGGAAGGAAAACGTAGCCCCAAGTCCAGAGCGTCGTGGTCGAATAGTCGCCCCGAGTCTCCCGCCATGGCGCGTCCCCCCAGCGCGCGCCCGGGCTGCCCTGCCGGCCGCGTCTCCTCGGAGGCCCGCCCGCCCCCGCGCCCCCGGAGGAGCCGCCCGGGGTCCCGCGCCCTGTCCCCGGGGTCCGCGGCCTCTCCCCGGGGTCCGCGCCCTGTCCCCGGGGTCCGGGGCCCGCCTGAGGCGACGGCGGGCGCGGGGCGGGGGCGCCGGGGCGTGTCTGTCAGGCGAGCCCCGACCTCACCGCAGCGAGACCGGCCAGGGTCGGTCTGAAAGGCCGTCGGGTCAAGATTATTGGGGGCAAAACCGGGAACTGCAGGACGTCCGCGTGTTGTTCGAGGGGAAACTCGCCCCTCAAGGCTCGGGACCCCCGGAGCCCCGGGGCGCCGCGTCCTCCGCGGAGACGCGGGGGGGAGGCGGGGGGGGGGGAAGCGGGGGGGGGGCGGTGCCGCTGGGGCCCGGCGGGAACTGGGCGTCTCCGGACTCGGGCCGCGACCCCAGGGCGTCTCCCCACCCCCCCACCCCGGCGCGGGTCCTCGGAGCCGGGGGCCCCGGGGCGCGGAGCAAGCTCGACACCCCCGCCCCCCAGGAGCCGCGGGGAGCCGGGCTCAGGGCTCGCGTGCGCCGCTTCGGGGCGGGGGATGGGAGGGAGCGGCAGGAACCGGCTCCTCCAGGCGCGCACCCCCGGGTCTCCGGGCCCCCCACGGGTCTCCGGGCCCCCCACGGGTCTCCGGCCCCCCTCGGGCGCGGCCGCGTGGACCCGGGAGCAGAGCGCAGCTCCCCGGGGCTCCCCACCCGCGGGCCCGGGCGCGTGACGCCCAGGGGAGCGCCTGCACCCCGCCTCCCCACTCGCTAGACAAGGGCCGCCAGCACCCCAGCCCCGCTCGGTCCCCGGCGGGTGGCTCGGGGGTTCCCCAAGCTCGGGGCCAAGCCCGGCCGTCAAGCTGCGCGCCCCGGGTCCCGCGCGGCCGGGACACCCCCCCCCGCCCCCCAACCCCCGCCTCCCGGGCTCTCGCACCCGGAATCCGGCCAGGCCGGCAGGTCGCCGCCGCGCGGGAGCAGGGGGCCCTCGGCCGGGCGGGGAGCCGCAGGCGCGTGACCCCTGGCGCCCCGCAGCAGGCCGGGGGCTGCTCCCGCCCAGGGCCCCCGCCGCGTCCCCCGCCGCGCCGGGCCCTGGGGTGCGGCGCCCCGAGCCCGGGCTGCCCAGGGCCGGACCTCGCCCCGCGGCCCCCCTGTGCCCGGGGAACGCCGGGTTCTCCCCTTGGGGCTGCCCGGCGGGTGGCTCCGCGCCTCCCCCCGACGGCCTCCGCCTCGGGCGCTCACTCCCCCCGCAGAGCCGCTTCTTCCCCGGGTGGGCTCGGCTCCTGCGCTCCCGCCCCCGCGCCCGGCCCTTCCCCTCCGCTGCGAGCGCCTGGGCCCGGCCCGGCCCGGCCCGCCGGAGCCGACCCAGCCGCCCTCCCGGCCGCCCGCGCGCTCGCTGAGGGGGGCTGGGGGAAGGCGAGGGCGTTTCTTTCCATCTCTGGAGCCCCTCGCACACCGACCCCACATCTGGATCCCACGGAGTCTCCTCCTGCCCTTTCTCCCGTCAGCGCGCTCAGCCCAGCGCCGTCCGTGCCCACCCCGCGGGCTCCGGCTCCATCAACAGGGCGCTGCTCCGCGATTGGCGCGCAGGCCTCGTTATGGCCCCGGACCCCAGGATCTTGCAGAGAGTTTACCTTTACATCAATCAGACCCATATTTAAAAGCTCCTAATCTCCCCTTCATCAGCTTCATAAACTCTGAATTTCCTGCTTTTATCACAACCCCTTGGAACTTCTCTGCAAATAGTTTATTATTCATTCATGGTTTTCTCTCTCCAGCGCGCAGCTATTCAGTTAATTCCCTTGCTCTTTGGGGGAAAGTGTCGTGTGGGGAAGCACAGCTCACTGCATGTGTGGCCGTGCATGCCCTCCCCTAGGCATCAGTGGCAGAATCGCGCGTTTTCTGGAGAACAATTTTGCACAATGTGTCATTTAAACCCAGTATTTGTGGCTCTGGGAAAAAAAAAAAACAACAACAACAACCTGACTTTAAGCTATTTCATATTCAAAACTAAAAGCCTGATTTCTGTCCCACAATCCATTAAATATTAAAGTTCGGTGGGAATGCTGCCACAGGGACTCTGAATTTCCCAGAATTTTGCAGCGTTTCAATGTGTATTAACTTTTGTGGTAAATAGCCGTAAACCCGTCCCTCTCTGGGAATCCCTTTCCTGCCTCAATGACACCGAGCTATCCAAATTATTAGATAAATCTTCTCAGAAAAATCTTACTCTAGTTAATCTTAATCTAGTTAAGTAACTAATTCCCATTGTCCACCTGTGGCCTCTTTTACTGAACTGACTTTACTGCACAATTGGGCATCTCACTTTAAAAGTTCAGTAAGCACAAGATACAACACGTGTAATTGTTACAGGTAATTTAATTTATAAGTAAATCCCTCCTGTACTATAGAAGATATTTCAAGATATCCCGGGAACCTGTAAAACCGATATTTATTAATGGAACTAGCCCAGCGTAGATCTGACACCTCACCAGGGACCCCTGTAATACAGCTTCAAAGTCAGTCCCTGCGCTGGAAACCCCCATGGAACACGATGCGTCCCTCTGGGCAGCGAGAAGAATGTACAGAAGAGCTTCTGATGTTTTGTAGAGTAAAACAGATAAATGTCGGCGTCCTAGGACTCAGTCCCCACCTTTATCTGGGTGATCTCCCAAAATTCAAACGCAGACACTCATAACTATCAAAAAAAAAAAAAAGAATTCGATTTTTGATGCATGGGTGATGAAGACATGAAGTGTAAGTAGGTAGGGAGATGTTTCTAATGGCAGCATCCAAATGCTGCGGTCTGCGAAAACAAAAAATCCAGACTAATGAGCCATTCATGAAATCTTTTCTTCAAGAACCCACTGTTTCCTTTTTTACATAACAAAACCCAACATTCTAGCTCCACCAAGACTTTCGGAAAGTAGTGTTTCTTGGAAGGTTAGTCCCCAAGACAGTCGTCAGCCAGAAAGCAAAGGAACCTCTCCATTTCTGTTCGGAAGGGGACGGTCTGCGCCAGGGAAGGACGCCTCGGCGCGCCTGGCCCGCACCCGAGCGGCCAGGCTGGTCTTCACGAGCCCCCCGCGTCCGCGCCTCCGGCTCCAGCGCCGGCCGCGAGTTCCCGGGCAGGAGCGCGTTCCCCTGGCTCGGGGGGCACCGTGGACGCGGCTCCCCCTTCCCACCCGCCCCCGTTTGCTCTCAATCCCCGCCGGCGCGTCCCGCGAGGGGGGCTCCGCGCCCGGCTCTGCGGGGAACACGCGGGGCCTCCGGGTCGCCGCGGTCCCGGGACGGGACGGGCCGAGGCCCCACCGCGCCCCAGCTGCCCCTCGGCGCATTTTATTCCTCTCGACCTGACTTAGACGGCAGCTCCCTGGGGCGCCGCCCTCTCCCCAAACCAGCCCCGGGCCCCGCGGACACCGCGGGGCGCCTCCCCAGAGGCCGGGGCGCTGAGACCCCCGGGGAGTCCTCAGCGGCGGGTCCGGCCGCCCAGGGGTTAACGGCCGGCCGGGGCGGAACCTGAGCCTCGGGCCGCGCTCGCCGGGGCTGCTGGAGATTCGGTGTCTCGGGGCGCTTCCTGCGCCCACTGAAGCCGGTTTTCAGGAAAACCAGCGGCGGGTTTGAAATGTCACACCGAGTGACCTGGGCGGGCACGTCCAGGGGCCGCCCGCCCGCCCGGCTCGGCCCGGAAAGAAAATAAACCGAGGACACGCCAGACTGGCTGTGGGCGCGGCCGCGGCGCGGGCCCGGGATCGCTTGCAGGTGATGCCAGAGCAGATAAGCGGCCGCCCGCCTCCGTCTAGACGCGCGCGGTGGGCGCGGGGGCGGGTCGCGTCGCGCGCCGGGTCCGGGGACGGCAGGGGCCAGACGGGCCGCCCCGGGTCGGCAGGCCCCGGCCCGGGCCGCAGCGGGAGGAGCCCCGGCCTCCCTCCGACGGCGCCGCGCGCGCGAGGCCCGAGGGCCCGGCCGGACAGGGGCGCGGGGTGCGGCCGCGCCTGGGGGACGCCGGCCGGGGCGGCTCGCGACGGAGGCGGCTTAAGGGAAAACCAGACGCCGGAGCGCGCCCGACCCGCGGCCGGAGCCGGGGATGCCGCGCCTCGCGGGTTTCCCGCGCGAAAAGGTCGCCCCACCCCGCCCGCCTGCGCCCGCGAGGCCCGGGGAGGAGCCGGGGCGGGGCCGCGCGTCCCACGAGCCTGCCCCGCCCCGCGCGGTGCCCAGCCCGCCCCGGCCGCCCCCCCCCCCGCGCGGTGCCCAACCCCCACCCCCCCCCCCCCCCGGCCCGCCGTGTGGTGCCCAGCCCCCCGGCCGCCCCCCGCGCGGTGCCCAGCCCCCTCCCCGGCCCCCCGCGCGGGGACCCGCAGGCGCGCGAGGCGCGAGCACAAGCGGCGGGGCGGCGCGCAGACACCCCGGGCGCGCGGGCGCGGACACAGGAGCCGCGGGCGTCGGGTTGTTTTGGGTTTTATTTTATTAAGAGCAAAATATTCGTCCCGCTATCAACTGGCTGTTCGCACAATAAATAACAATAACTTACGGTTGTTGGGTGGCAAAGTCTCACACTGTCCGCCGTCGAATGATAATTTAAAACATTTTCAAGCAAAGTCTCGTTTCTACTTTTGTCCGGCATCATGCGCTTTGGGGAGCCCCGCGGCGGCTCCTCCGGGTCTCGCGGCCGCCTCCCCGTCCTGGGGGCCCGCCGAGCCCCGCGCCCACGCGGGAACGTGCCCGGGGCGCCGGCGGGCTGGGGGCTACTCCAGGGGAGGGGGCAGAGCTAACGCTAGGAAACCCCAAGTTCTGGTTTTGAAAAAGTACAGGTCCTGGGCCGGGCCGTCGGGTCTCCTGGACGCGGGGCGCGCCGGCCGCCTCCGGCCTCCCTCTCCCAGGGCCAGCGGCGACGGGGCCGGCGCGCGCTCTCGGGGCCCGCGGGCCTGAGCGTGGGTGCGTCTCATGCAGGGGGCATGCGAGGTCCGCGGGCCGGAGGGGCCCCTCACGTCTCCACGGGGCTCGGCACCATGCTGTTGGGCGTGTCCGGGAGCTGAGAGGACAGGGAGGTCACGTCGCTGCCCGACGAGTTGCCGAGGGAGCCGGACTCCGAGAAGGAGACCTGCGGGGCGGAGACCCGGAGGGGGCGGTGGAGACGCGGTCGGGGTGTCCCTGGGGGACGGGCCGCCGGCGGGGGCGGGGGCGAGGCCTCGGGAGGGGCCGGCCAGGCCTCCGGGCGCCCAGCTGACCCGGGGGACCCCGGGGGCTCCTCCCGCCCCGTCTCCCGCCAGGTCTCCTCCGGGGACACCAGGTTGCGCGCGAATGAGCGGCTGGAGGGCGCCGCCAAGCCAGCCCCGCTCCTCTCCCGAGCCTGGCGCGGCCCCTCAGCCCCTCGCGCCCGGGGAACACCCCTCCCACCCGCGCAGCGACGGCGCCCCGCCCGGAGCCCGGGCAGCGCCTCACCAGCTGCTGGAAGGCGGGCTGGTCCAGGTCGCTCTGGAGCGCGAACTCGCTGAGCGCCTTCCACGGCGGCTGGTAGGTCTGCACCTCCACCGCGCTGCCCTGCACGGCGCTCTCGTGGCGGATGGGGCTGCCCGCCACCAGGGGCGTCCCGGTCAGTCCCTGCAGGCTCTGGAGGAAGCACAAGTGGGCGGAGGGAATTAGGCCTGGAGTTTGCTGCCCCCTCTGAACCCTGGGCCCGCCCCGCGCCCTGCAGCGCGCTTCGGGGCTGGGGACGGCTGGGGGGCCACACGCTGGCCCCAGCCGGGTGAACGGGGGTTCCCCAGCGAGGACACCCTGGAGCCCCGGCGCGGGGCCGCAGGCCAGCCTCGGTGCTGAGGAGGCCAGACAGGGGATGCGAGACCTGCCCCTCCCTCCCCGGCCCGCAAGCCGGCCCTCCCCGCGCGGGCCCCAACCCTGCGCCCGCGGCTCCCCGCGCGCCGGGGAGATTCTAGAAGCCCCGATTTCAGACGCAAGAACAAGAGCGTTAAGCCCCCCGACTCTGAGCCCTACTCTGAAGACGCCCCAGGCGCTCTTGGGGGAACCCAGCGCCCTTGGCTCTCCCGAGCCCGCCCAGGAAAGCGCGCGCCGAGGGGGCGGCCGGGCCTCGACGCCCCCCGGCCTCGCGCGGGCGCTCACCGTCCGGTCGCTGTGCTGCTGCTGCTGCAGCTGCTTCATGAGGAGCGACTTCTTCTTGTCCTTGCAGCGCTTGTTCTGGAACCAGACGCGGATGACCCGCGGGCTCAGGCCGGTCATCTCCACCAGCTGCTCCTTCATGAGCGCGTCGGGCCGCGGGTTGGCCGCGTAGCACGTCCGCAGCGTGTGCAGCTGCTTCTCGTTGAGCACCGTGCGCACGCGGGTCGTCTTCTCCGTGTGCTTGTGCGCGTGCGGGCGCAGCGCGGGCTGCCGGCCCGACCCCGGGTCTGGGGGGCGCGGGCGAGAGGTGAGCCCGGCCGCCGCCCCCCGCCCCCGGCCGAGCGCCCCGCGACTTCGCGTCTCCCCATTCCGTGGATTTCGTTGCGTTGCTCCCCTCTGCCCACCCGTCCGCCCCGGCCGGGGAGGGGTGCGCGTGCGTCGCCCCCGGCCCCCTGCGCGGCCCGCGTCGCTGTCCCCGGAACGCCGGCGGGGCGGGGGAGCCCCGATTAGGCCCCGGAGGCCGGGCGGTCGCTCCGGGGGGGCCTCCCCCAGCCACCCGAACTGGGAGAGCCCGCCTGGGGCCTGCGGGGCCCGCGGAACCCTCCGGAGGAAGTCGCAGTCTCAGAGGAAGAGGAAGGAGGCGCGCCCGGGACCCCGGGGGATGGGGCGTCCGCGGGCCCGCAGCGGCGCTCGGCTCGGGCACCGGGGGGACGGAGGGGGGTCGGGGGGTGCTTCTCGCCCGGCCCCGGGGCGGCGCGGGCTCTTCCCCCTGGCTCAGCACCCGCTCGCTCAGCACCAGGCCCCGGGTGGCGAAGAACCCGCCCGGGGCGCTCAGGGCCTGCAAGCCGGGGCAGCGCCTTCCCTCCCGCCCTGGGGCTTGGCCCCCCAGGGTCCTCCCGCGGGCGCCACGTTCCCGGGCCAGCGCCCCGGCGCGCCTGCTCCCCTAGAGGGACCTCCGGTTCTCTCAACCCGGGAGAAACAGGCCTGATTCCCGCGTCCCACAACCCGCAACAAACAAAAGGGAGCCCCTCCTCGGCAGACCGCGCGGCCGGACCCCAGCTTCCTGCCGCTGCACTCCCGGCCAGCCCCGGGGCTGCGAGCCCGCGGACGCCGGCCGCGCTGCTTTAATTTACATGCCCCTCCGGCATCTCCAGGCCTGGATAAATATTTACAAACAGCTCATTCAGCCCAGTTTCCTCACTACAGGAGAGGGAGCCGGGTGGGGAGACACCGAGGGAAGGCGCGGGACAAGACCACCCGGGCCCCGAGGCCTGCCCTGCTCCAGAGGCCGGTGCGTGAGGTCCGTGCCCACCTGCCCGGCAGGGCACCACCCTCGCCCTCCCCACTGGGCTCTCGGCCCCCTCCTCTGCGTGGCCCCTGATGAGGATGCAGAGCATCCCCCAGGTGTCTTCCTGACCTCCCAGGCCACTCTGCCTCCCTCCCCTCTCCAGCGGGGCGCACTTGACAAAGTTGTTCCACAAACTGGGCCTCAAAACACGACCACAGACCCCAGCTCTTTGTCCAGGAGTCGCCTTCAGGACCACCTTTACCTTGGGGATCCTGGCGGCAGCGCCCAGGCCCGGCCCTAGGCCCGGAGCAGCCATAATCCCTGCAGCCTATCCCCAGGCAACCCTTTCTTTCCACTCTGGCAACTGCACTTGAAACCCCCCTGCAAACCCAGGCAGGCACTAGCTCAGCCTCCTGTTGTCGCCCGCACCCCTGCTCCACACCTTCCTGGCCTTGAAGAACACACATTTCCACCATCCCCTGGCTCGTGCACACGCGCGCACAGGCCGGCCTCACGCCGACCACGCGCAATGCTCGCCGGCCACGCAGGAACCCGGGCCCGCGCCCCCGCGCACTGCTCCACCCTCGGCGGCCCCCTCACCGCGGCAAGGCCTCTGCACCCCGCGCTGCCCGCACGCGCGCTCACGCTTACCTGGCAGATGCAGGCCGCGGGCGCCGGGCAGGGGGCCGGGGCTACGCGGGCTGCCGGCCGCGGCGCGCTCCAGCAGAAGGCCGTGGTCGGCGCGGCAGAGCAGCTCGTGCTCCCGCAGCGAGAACTCGTCGCCCGGCAGCAGCTGGCGGCTGCACACGGAGCAGCGGAAGCACTCGATGTGGTACACGCTGTCCCGCGCGCGCATCACCAGGTCGCTGCTGCTGAAGCCCACCTGGCACTTGGCGCACTTGATGCCAAACAGCCTGCGGGCCCGAGGCGCGGCGGCGTCAGCGCGACCCGGAGGGGCCTCGCCTCGGCGGCCGGCGGCTGCGGGCTCCCGGGGCGCTGGGGGGCAGACCCCGCGGCGCCTTCGGGGCGGGGGGGGGGGGGGGCGGCCGCGTCTCCGGCCGGGGTTCGCGGCCGCCCACCTTCCCCGGCCGGGCCCCTCTGGCGGCGGGCGCGCAGCCTGCACCCCGCGGGCCTCACCTGACGTAGTCCCGCTTGCAGTAGGTCTTCCCGTCTCTCACGAAGCACGTGCACGTCTCGTCCAGGTACTGGCTGCACTCGGCGCACTTGAGGCAGGCGGCGTGCCACTCCAGGTCGGGGGACACCCGCAGGATGAACTGGTCGTGGATCTGGCTCCCGCAGCCCACGCACGTGGCGGTCCCCGGCTTCTCTGCGGGCAAGCGCGGGGTTCGCGTCAGGCCCGGCCGCCCCGGCCCGGGCGCACCCGGCCGCCCAGCCCCGCCGCGCGCGCCGGCCGGGCAGCTCCTTCAAGAGCCGCGGCCGCGAGGACAAGGAGGTGGACGCCCCGAAGGTCCACGCGCATGGAACGAGACGCGAAATCCGAATTTGTTCAGGCTTTTTGCCCCCCGCCCCCATGTTCCGCTGTTCCATCCACCAGACGCGGCCATTTCATCCACCCGTCGTGCGGCCAAGCAGCCGGCGTGCGGGCGCGAGGGGAGCGCGGCGGGCGGCCGGGCACTGCGGACGCACCGCGGCAGCCCCGAGCGCGGCGCGCCGGCACCTTCTCCCGCAGCCTCGGCCCGGCACACCCGGCTTCGGCGTCGTCTCGCTCGGCCTCGCTGGCGTTCGTGGCTCGGTTTAAATACCCCAGGTGGAGACAGAGGAATCTCCCATTTTGCAAAGGCCAAAAGGCCCACGAGCGAGCAAACAAAAAACCCACATCCTTAAATCAAACCTAATTGCCTTAGCGCAAAAGCGAAGCCTGTTTCCCAGCCCGAGAGCGGTCTAGCGAGCCGGAGCGACGGTGTCCAGTTATAAATTAGCACAGCAGGATCTGGGGGGGCCAGGCCGTCCTGCAGGACGAAAGCAATGCGCTCCGGCTCCCCCCAACGTCCTGTCAAATAGACGCCACTTGTAGAATCCACTCACCCTTCATCTGCATCAAAACGAATGCATACGAAGCCCACGCCCCCCACCCAGACGGAGACAGACTTACTCTTGGCGGGGTCCCCCATGGCACCCCGCAGAGGATGGCGAAGGATGATGTCCACCATGCAGAGGGCAGCTGCGCGCGCGGCGTGCGGCCGAGGTCGGGAGCCCAGGTCGCGCGCCCAGCCTGGCTCTTGGCTAACTAACTCCTGCCCCGCGGAGTTGCAGGAGCGATTCCGCACCGGCCCGCACGCAGCATGACGTCAGCACGCACCAGCCCGGGCCGGAGCCGGGGGCGGGACCTGTGGCGTCACGAAGCTTCCCCAGATCTGCGGGTTCGCCGCGGGAGGCGGGGGGCTGGGGGCGGCCGGGCGGGCCGGGCCGGGCCGGGCGGGGCGGGGCGGGGTGGCGGCCGGCGGGAGCGGCCGGGGATTGGCCGGAAGGCAGGGGCAGCGCCTGATTGGCCCGGAGTGAACAATGGGGCGCAGCCCCCTCCCCGAAACCCCCGGGAACCTCTCCCGCCCCGGATCCGGCCGTCCCGGCTGGACCTTCCGTCCGCGCCGCGTTGGGTCCGCGGCCCGCGCCGCTCCGAGCCGCCTCCCGGCCCCCCCGACGCCCCCGGGAGGGTGGGGGACACCCGGGCGTGCGGACGGGCCCCTCTGGAAAGGCTCCTGCACACACATGTGCAACGCCTGCTGCGTGACGTGTGCTGCGACCCGCTCTTCGGGCCCCGGAGAGCCGGGAGAAAGAGGGGCCGCTGGAACAAGACCGCCCCCCCTCGCGGGCCTCTGTGATCGCGCCCCAAACTGCAGGGAGGTTGGGGAGCGCCCCCCGAGGCTGGGAGACGCCCGGGACACGTCCCCGCCCGCCCGCCGGCGCAAAACTTCTCCAAGTTGGAGCTGTAGGTGGGTGTCGCCAGGACGCGTACCCCGAAGATTCTCGCTGGGTCCCGACTCGAGCCCTGACTTGCATTTGGGGCGCGGGGGGTGGGGCGGGGGGATTTGACCCGGATCCGACCCATCTTCTGCCCCTGGACGGCTCGGCTCCGTCTAGGCGTGTTTCCGCCGCGAATGCGCACCCCATTTCAGAGCAAACGATTTTTCATAAACTTCGGCTTCATTTCCCAAACCAACCAGCGCACAAAGAATCGGAAACGCATGCGGCCCTCGGGGTGGCGACTCTCTCGGCAGCCGAACCCCCGTCCCCAGGAAACCCCGACCTCCGAGAAGAAGCTCTGTCCTCCACAGCGCCCGCTGGGGTCTCGCCCTGGAGCCCAGAGCCTGCCCCACGCGCCATAAATCACGCCCCTCCGACCCGGGCGGCCGCTGCTTTCCCGTAAAAGCCACACCAAGGAGTGGGCGCGCCGGGGTGGGGCGCGGGGCCGCGTGGGCAGGCACCGTGTCCCCCGGGATCCCAGGCCCGGGGTGGCCTCGGGGCGCGGTCGGGGCGGCCGCCCCCTCTCCAGCCCCTGGAGCTGCGGCTGCGCGGGGCGGTGGACGCGGCCCCCCTCGGGCGCGGCTCGCGGCTGGGACCGTCCGTGTTGCGCGAATCCCGCCCCGCGGCGGCCCCTGCGCAGGCCCCCCGCGGCGCTCGCGCCCCCCCCTCGCCGCCCCCAGGCCTCCGCCGGAATGTCTGCTCCCCTCACCGGCCCGCGCGTCCTCCCAGCTGGCTGACCGCTCCCGCAGGGCCGCCCGGCGTCCTCGACCGGGCGGGGGCCGCTCTCCCGAGCGAGCCGAGCAGCGCCGGGGTGGGGCGGGCGGGGCGCGGAGCAGCGCGTCTGCGGGAATGCGCGAGGCTGGGGCGTCAGGTGGCCTCCGGGCATGGCCCCCCGGGCCCTCCGTGGCCTCAGGCATCTCATTTTACCTCCTCGTCGGGAAAACTGGGGGGTAGGGGAGACGGTAGCTGCTTCTGCTTTCAGAATTAAACTCTTCTTTGGAAAAGGCTTGAAACAATACCTGGCACGTGGTGAGCGCCCAGCGCCTGGTGAACGGCGTGAGCCGCCTGGGGCCCTTCTCTCTGGGCGGCTTCCTCAGGGTCTGCTGGGCCTTTGCTGCGTGCGCTGCCCGCGTGCGCCCTTGGTTTCCTGGAGGGTGTGGATGTGGGCCTCCTCTGTGCGCTTCATCTGGGAAGTCCGCTGCGGGATGGCCGGGAAAGGTGTGATGCGTGTGGTCTGCTGCAGGTGATGTCTGCGTGTCTGCATGTGCAGGCTCGGGGAGGCCGCCAGCGGAGAGTGTGCCTCCCTTGTCCAACAAGGAGGTGGCCTGAAGGAGGGGCTTCTCCCTCTGGCAACCCTGGGTCTGGCCTGGCTTCCAGGAAGGGCCAGGAGCAAGTCAATCAGTTCTGGGGTGCAGATACAAGGGTGGGGGCAGGTGACTGGGGCAGAAATCCTAAACCCAGCCTTTAACCCTCTCCTCACTAGAGGAAAAATTCCTCCTTACCACGCAGAAAAAAGTGAAACTCTTGAGGGGGAAGGAGAAGATGCTGCTTCTCTTGGGCCACCAGCAAGCCAGGTCCCCGGCTGATGTTCATTCAGTCCACATCGTTTCTAAATCCCCTGGTATTAGCCTATTAGTGTTTTGTTTTTTAAGATTTTTTTATGCATACAACAACTGGAGTACAGACCAAATGTGCAGGAGGGTGAGAGGGTTCACCAGAGACACAGCAGGGAATGGAACAGGCAGATCTACTGAAACAAACTGCTGAGGGGAGCAGCGGGGAGACAGAAGAGGTCTGCCGTGCCATGTGGGTAGCTTCCTGGCTGGCCAGGAATCAAACCAGCGCTGCAGAGGCTGCAAAGAGCTTCACAGCGCTGCACTCAACCGCCTGCGCCACCAGGGGAGGCCCTAGCCTATTAGTTCTTTACAGTCCTGTTGTGAGGTGGATAGCACTGGACTCCTGTATTCCTGAGGAAACAGGCTTGAGAGGTGGACGATTGTCTCCCATCATGTCAGTCCAAGCTGGTATCCCAAACCACACTTCTTTCACTGCCTTCTCTTTTTTCCCTGCTACGGCGGCCCGAGCACCCCTGTGGGTGTGGCTCTGCCATTCATCTGCTTCATTTCTCCAGAGGATCCATTTCAAGATCCCTCTATGTGGGTTTTCTGGGTCATAGCCATTCTTCAGAGACCAGCTCTTAAACCCAACCACCCACCTGCAGGAGCCATTGCTCCGGCCCTGTCCTGCTTCTCTGGCCCCTGGTGGCTCTCGGGATCTGCTTCTAGGAGAGTCGGGGACCACCTGCTCCACAGCCCAGGCTACAGCATACAAGGAAGTTGGGGTTTGAGAGCACTCACTACTTTCACAGGGGATCGGAGCCTGGGCTCATAGCTCTGCATTCCCCCCTGAAATTTTCCTCTTGGGAAAATCTCTGAGGTATAGCAAAGTGTCCTTGGAGTCCTTCTCCTCCATCTTCCCTTTCCCCGTCACCGCTGCCTTCAAAATTCTGTTCACAATTCCCCTAAATGATGGGCTCACCGTGCAAAAAAAATTCTGAGAAAGAACAGAACAGATGGCCACTTAGACTCTGGTGATCGCAGCTGCGGTTCTAAGATTAAGACCTGAGAGAAAGAGCCAGAAAGGGTGCCGCTTGGGATTAGGAGCTGGGAGGGGGTCTCCAAGCAGGTGCTCTGTTTCCAGAGCCCACTTATGATGTGGCGGCACCATCTTGCTCCTGGTCACTCACAGAGGGGAGACCACAACACAGTGTCCATCCAGCACAAAAGAAGCTGTTGTGGTAGGAGAATTAATCCTCACCGTGAACACTGGAAAGGACATGAAGGCCCAGTGATTTGTCACCCAGCACGTAACTGATGTACGTGGAGCTGAAAGGGCCTCTGCCCCAGGCTAGAGCTTTTCTTGCTGGAGTCCAGGGGGATGGCATTCTGCCATTGCTCACCTCTCCCCGACCAGGCCTCTCCTCGGACCCTCTCCCCTTCCAGACCCATAGGTCTTTTCTCCCAAGGCAGGTGGAAACATTGTTCCCTTTGGCACTGCAGGGTCCCTCTCCTCCTTCCTGAGCGCCCCCTCTCTCCCTAACATTCACCGAGCACTTCTTATAGCCCAGGCCCTAGCCTAAGCAGTCATACAAAATTTCATTTAAAGCTCCTAAAGGCCCCTGAGCAGGATAGGCTGTATTTGTAGATACCAGTGCACAGGAAAAATGTGGGCCCCCCTGTTCAGAAAGCACTAAGAATTTCAAGATGGCAGAGCGTTGAACCAAGCCTGGTGCCTTTCTAAAGCACAGGGCCCTTGTGAAGCGCACAGGCCACATGTCCACAACACGGGCTCTGCCTCTCAGGACACAGGCAGGTCCTGCTGCCATCTTTCAGCAGCTCAAAAAATGAATAAAGCAAGAAGCTTCGCAAATTATTACAACTGGTAAGAGGTAGAACTGAGACTCCAGTGCAGGAGAGTAGTTAACGCATGCAACTTGAGTCTGTCCAGACGCAAATGAGTTTATTTGTCTATTTGTCTGTTACTTGGTTCATGGTGGACATGGGCCAAGGTCACTTTGTATTAAGGAACCCACAGTCTAAGCATTCTTGTGCTTGGAGAATCAATAGGGTCATCATAGGAGGTTGAGAAAAAACAAACCCTCTTTTTATTTTTTTTTAATTTTTTATTTTATTTATTTATTTATACAAGCACTGGGTACAGTCAGAAGCGCGGGAGGGTGAGAGAATTCACCAGAGCCAGAGCGGGGAGCAGAGCAGGCAGAAGGACCGAAGTACACTGCTGAGGGGAGCAGCGGGCGGCAGGAGAGGTCTGCGCGCCATGTGGGACCCTCCTCCGGTGGCCGGGGAGCAGCCGGGGATCAAACCGGCGCTGCAGAGGCTGCAGGCAGCTTCACAGCCCAGCGCTCAACCGCTGCACCACCAGGGGAGGCCCCAAACCCTCTTTTTAAACATACATATGGGAGCCTTTGTTTCTGTCCAAATCACAACATGAAGGGGCTGCAGGGATAATCAGTTGAGCTTCCATGTTGGGAGGGGAGGGGGTCGTGGGAAGGAGACATATTTCCTGACTGGCTCCATGTGGCTGGCCATGCTCTCAGCAGCTGGCCCAGGGCACTGGCCTTCCCGGTTGACTTCTGCCAGCCCATGGCCTCACGGGGACTGCATTTCAGTGTTCAATTTTCTTCCAGGGTCATTCTTCCCCAC